TCTTCCGAGGTTTCCTATGCTTGTATCGATCTGTGCAGCTTGTCATCAGATACTGGCTGGAGCCCACGTGGGGCCAGGCCTCTTGCTGGTTAGTGAAGACACAAGGAAACAGAAGGGGCCTTCTGGGAGCTCCTGGCCTGGAGAACATGGGCACATGGATGTCACCTGGGAATAATATGTGATGTGGAGGCACGCACAGGGCTTTCTGGGTAATGGGAGAGGAGGGGTCAGCATTCCCCGGGGAGTCGGGAGGCTTCTGGGAGGGACCCTGTGGAAGCTGAACGCTTCCCCAGGTGAGGGGCTAGCACAGACCAAGGGGCAGAAGCCTCAGGGGGTCTGGCTAGTTGGGAATGGCCGAACGTCCAGCAGACTGGACGGTGGAGTTCGGAGGAGAGGGTTGAGAGCTTCGGCCTGAACAGCACTTGGAAGCACCCCACAGAGGGCCTGGCTGAGCCACTCAGCGGTTCTTACGGGCAATTGGGGCTCCTCTGAGGGCCTCGAAGAAGGAAGGGACAGGCTGGGCCAGAGCAGATGGGGAGATTCTACCAATAGGTCCCCCAGAAGCAGACCCCTGGGGAAGCACGGACGAATCAGTCTTGCCCCTCTGCCGCAGTCTCCGCCCTGAGCAATGAAGTTCCTCTCCCATCTAGGACTGAGCATGCAAGGAGCTCTGGTGCCTTAAAGGACTCTTGCTTGCAACGTGAACCTTTCTCTTTATTTAAAAAATTTTTAAATATATTTCATTTATTTTTTTACAGAGAGGAAGAGAGAGGGATAGAGTTAGAAACATCGATCAGCTGCTTCCTGCATACGCCCTAATGGGGATATGCCCGCAACCAAGGTACATGCCCTTGACCAGAATCAAACCTGGGACCTTTCAGTCTGCAGGCTGACACTCTGAGCCAAACCGGTTTCAGCTCTTTTTTTTTTTTTTTTTAATTTGTTTTTATTGATTTCAGAGAGAAAAGGAGAGGGAGAGAAAAATGGAAACATCAATGACAAGAGAGAGAAACATTGATCAGCTGCCTCCTGCACGCCCAACGCTGGGGATTGAGCCTGCAACCCAGGCAGGTGCCCTGACCTCCTAGTTTCCACCACTGAGCCATGCAGGCTGGGTCCTTTCTCTTTACTAATGAGAACCAATGATGGGCCATGGTGGGACATTCCCACAGTGGGAGGGAGAATACCTGGGACTAAGAACCACCACAAGGCATAGCCTCTGCTTTCAAATCTGGGAAATGGGGATGAAAATGAATGAGCCCGTGAGAGTCAGAGGGTCTTGTTGGGCTTGGAGTCCCTCCCCCAGCCTAACGATAGCCAACCCCTCTTCCCTCCCACAAAGAAAGCCATCGATCCTGGAGGCAAGTCTATCGCTGACAGCAGAATAGAAGCAAGCTCCACTTTTTAGACAGCAAAAATGTTTGTCACACCCACCAGGAAACAAGAGACTTGTACCAATGTCATCAACATGGCAAAGGGGGAGCGGATCATTCTCAAACACTCTCACCCCTCCACTCCCACACGCCCGGGACACTTACATTATCCCCCAGACAAAAACTGCAAACATGTACGTCCCAGGCAGGCACAGGGTAAATGGAGTCACTTATAAAATGGTTAGTCCCAGCCCCCTAAAGTATAGCTCAAGCTTATTAGTGAGATGAAGGTTCTCAGGTTGTTGAGGCCACGGAACCATTAAATATTAACCGCATGACCATGTTGCCTATTAAATTAATTTATGGAGTCCAAGAAATGCCTTTGGAACCCCTCTTGATAGACACCTGGCCCTCCAGTGCCACATAAAAACAATTACTGGCTGGCGCTCGCTGCATTTTCCGTGACGCTCATGCAATCTGCTCCGTAGATGTTTGAAATTAACAGAGATGTGGGCTGTGAAATCCCCATCAGGCAGGAGGGCTGCCTGAAGTCTGGGGAGGTCCGCTGCTTGGTCAGACTTTCCACCTCTGAGTCCTGGCAGAGGAGCTGGCTGCTCTGTGCACAGAGCCAGCGGCACAACTGGAGGTGCGTTTGACCCCCCAGCAAATCCCAGACTCGGAGTGCACATTGTCTAGCAGGTCAAGGAAGAAGGTGTTGCCAGCCAAGCAGAGCTGCATATGCAGGGTACTGCAAATAACACCCCCCGCCCCCCGCCTCCCTCTCACCCCCCAACTCCGAAATTCTAAGCAGTGTGTCCAAGGACAAGCATAGAAAAGGGAAGGGCCGGCCAGGGAGTGGGCTACACATAACGTTGACAGTAGGCTTTGCTGTGGGGAGCAGTGATGCTGAGTGAACTGTTGGATCCTGAGTGGCCCACAGTTTGGGCCATTGGGTGGCAGAGCTGTGAAATGCAACCCTGGGTGGCAGTGACCGTGGATGGCTACCGCCTTATTCCTGATGACCATTCCAAGGTCATTCTAAGGTCCCAGACAATCAGACCACAGATCCCAGCTTTCTAATTCAGCAGAATTAAAGGTCACATCTGCACTGCCCTACCCCCCACCATCCTCAGTGTAAATTACAGCCTGTGAAACGTCTGGCTGCTGGGTGAACCCATGACATTGCCCCTCATTGCCCGGCTCTGAGCCGCTCTTGTCTGAGCTAATCAGGTTAGGAGGCCCCTCCTCTTGCAGACCCCACTTAAATGGCTCCCTCGGCCACCAGCAGCACTCCTGGGACCCCAGAGTTCCCCTCCCCCCCCGACACTCATCCTGATTCAGGAGTCCTGTCCAAAGCCTGAGCCCAAGGGATAAGATGTTAGGGGTCTCCCGCTCCAGATGATCTGGGAGGGGCATCTCCACAGAGACCAGCTGCAGGAGCCCCGGCTCCACCACCGAGGCTGCCTCGAGCCCTGATCCCAGCTGGAGGATGCGTCCTCCTGCCCTTTGCCCTCTCCTCCATTAGCTCTGCCCATTTATTTAACTTCCTGGGAAGGAATGAGGAGAAATAAAAGCTCAGGCTGCAGCCATCAATTTAACCGGAAATGGCAAATGCCCTTTAAAGAGAAAAGGGAATTCAGGCATACCTTGTCTTAGTGTGCTTCGCTTTCTCACACCGCATCGATGTTGCCTTTTTTTTTTTTTTTTTTTTTACAAACTGAAGGCAAGACCCTCTACCAGCAAAAAGATTAGGACACTTGCTTTACCGCAGTGGCCTGGAACCGAACCCGCAGCCTCTCCTAGGTCAGCTGGATTGGTCTTTGGAAAAGGAGCTTTCGGTTTAAGGGAATAATTGATCATCCCGGCGTCCTTTCAGGTTAAGGGAGAAAATGTGACTGGTACGGTCTGCAGTCACGAAATTCAGATTCAGCTTAACTCAGAGTCTGCGGGAGTGCTTGCCGGCCCAGCCAATTTAGCAACATGATTCTTATTTGAGCATTTTTATTGCCTAACAGTGATTGAGAAATACCAGACATTATCGCAAAAAGGAATCTTTAAAAACCCAATATATATATATTGATTGATTTCAGAGAGGAAGGGAGAAGAAGAGAGATGGAAATATCAATCATGAAAGAGAATCATTGATCAGCTGCCTCCAGCACACCCCAAACTGGGGATTGAACCTGCAATCTGGGCATGTGCCCTGACCGGGAATTGAACTGTGATTTCCTGGTTCATAGGACCACTGAGCCACACTGGCCAGCCAGAAAGGAATCTTACAGTCACAACTCTGTGTAGGGACAGTATTTCAGAATGACGAACACTGAGACATACCTTTCCTTACTCAAACCCATTCACGAACCCTGTGAAAGAGTTGTTTCTATCCCGTTTTACAGATGAGGAAACTGGGGCTCAGAAACGCGAAGTAACTCTCCCAGTCACAGAGTTAGAAGGTGGAGCACTGGGGTCAGACCCCAGCTCTAATATTAGCACTCACAACAAAGCGCTGTCCCACTTGCCTCTCCTCAGATTCCACCATAGGTTTATTTATTTATTTATTTTACGTATTTTATTTTATTTTATTTTATTTTTTTTACAGAGAGGAAGGTAGTGGGATAAAGAGTTAGAAACATCGATGAGAGAGAAACATCAATCAGCTGTCTCTTGCATACCCCCTACCAGATATGTGCCCGCAACCAGGATACATGCCCTTGGTCGGAATCGAACGTGGGACCCTTCAGACCACAGGCTGACACTCTATCCACTGAGCCAAACCGGTTAGGGCCCACCATAGGTTTAGTTTAAGATATTCCATCTCCATGAAAGCCAGTGGTACCCAGCGGTCACATTCAACTTACTGTCCCGGGAAAATAACAAAAAGGTAGTATCTACGGAATGCTTCCTCTGAACCAGACCCTAGGCGCTGCTGTTGCTCAAATGTGTCAGTTCCTTTCCTCCTCAGAACTACCTTCTGCAGAAGCACTATTCTCCCTAAGGTGCAGGTGTGGAAATGAGGGTCCGGGAAGTTAAGTAACTTGCCCAAGTTCTCGAAGCTAGTGAGGAGGTCAGCCGCCCAGAGACCTCCCTGCAGGGACCGAGGCTCTATTCCAAGTAGAAAGGCAACGGGCTCTGCGTCTAGTCATCGCTGTCACGCTCCCGTCTGCACTCTGGCATGAGTTCTCCGAGTGTATGTGCGTACACATGCTGTGTGTGTGTGTGTGTGTGTGTGTGTGCGCACACTTGTACCTATGAAGTTGTGTCCATGAACTTTGTAACTATCAAGACTCCTGTGAATAAACAAATATACGTTTCGAACACTCTTGAGCCCAGAACCGATTCCAACAACGTCCCACAGGACCTCAAAGCAACAGTTCTACATCCAGCAGAACGTCACACACAGAATCCCTTCCGCAGGAAGCCCTTCGCTGAGCTCCCAAGCTCGTGGAAGTGACTTAGAATGACGTTTTGTAAACAAGGACATGTCCCAAAAGGAGTAGGGACTCAGCTGTGAGCCTGAGGCCCTCAGAGGGTGACCCAGTCATGGGGTGACCCCTCCCTAAGGGACACCCACACCCACCCCTCTGGCCAGGAAGCACCAGGCCCCAGGATGTATCTTCACAACCTTACCCGGCAGTACTCATCGATGGGCTTCAGCCTCCTCACCGCGACGTCCCGAATGTGGCTTCTCCGGAAGAGGATTTTGCCTGGAAGAGAAATGCTTGTGAGCCAGGTGACTGATTGCAGGTAAAGCTGCCACAGGTACCTGGGACCCTCCCCTCTCCCTTGGCTTCTCCACATCAAGGCAACAAGGGAGTAGTCACCTCTTTCAGGGGGCAGGAGGCACCCAAGGCTGAGAGACCAGGACCTCTCAGGCAGGCGAGGAGCCCTGGAGGCTGCCATCTGTCCCAGGTCACCGTGTCTGGGTTTAATGGCAAGATTAATGCCCAGACGTGGGCCCAGCTCCCAAGTGACCTCGCAAATAGATACAAAGGATGGCCCCACCCAACTCCGTGTTTTGTTTTCTGGCCCATCCCTCCTTGAGAAATCGGCATTAGTTCCTGCCAGTCGGCAGGAATTCCTATTCTTAGTTTCAGTGGGTGGCTATTTCCAGGGCGGGCACAGGTCAATGCCGAGGGGAGCCTGGCTGCCCCGGCCTAACTGTTCCCCAACTTCTCTGACACATAGCCTCCAGCCGTCTGGACCACTGCGTGGCCATGCTGATACACCCTTTTACAGGCATGGGCAAGGCTCACAGGAAATGCCAACCCCTCAAACCTTCCCAGCAGGCTCCTCTGAACTAGCAGAATGCAATGATAACAAACAGGTCAATGCACAGTCCTTCACAACAATTAAATTTGGAACAGGAACTCTTTGGCCTGACATGCAAGGCCCAAAGGCAATCACAGCTGACATTTCTGTGCCCAAAGACCATCCATGATTAGGGCCAATGCCCCCTTCTCAGAGGCCTTCCTTGATTGGCCAAGCTGGGAGTAATCTCCACCTTTCCAGGGCATCTACACATTTTGTCCATTCCTAAGGCATTCGTGCATTCTGCTGTGTGTTACAGCTATTTTTGAGTCTCCTGCCACCAGGGGCCTGTCTGTCCCATCTGAACTGGTACACTCTGAAGTGCTCATGGCATAACTACTAGGTGTACTGGTTAATGATGTGAATTTTTTTTTCAATAGATGAGGTTCCATGTATGCACTTTGATATATATGTTATCAATATTTTGTTGTATTGACAAGCTTCAAAACTTCATATGTCAAATTTTCTGAAGGTGTTAACATCATAGATATTTTTACGGTTAAAAATGTCAAATTTCGTGCCCCAAAAAAGAGGATTTGCGGGAAGTTTTAATTCATTACTTTATTTTGAAGAAAAGTGCTAGCGATGGACATTACTTTGAATAAAGCACTTTTGATGTTTCTCTTGAAATTATTGTGTTTTCTTTTATCACAAAATCCAAATTATTAACCGGTTAATGATTAATCCACAAAATTAACTGGTATCTGCAAAATTAACCAGTTAATGATCAATCCTCATCCAATAATGCTTGTAATTGTTGGTCTTCAAACTTTTTTTGGTTAACCTGGACATTCTTTGTCTTTACATAGAAATCATCACTTTTAAAGCATTTAAACCAGCGTTCACCAGTATCTTGAGATGGAGCATGCTCACCATAAGCTTCCAGAAGTATATGATAATTTTCAGCAGCACTTTTCTTCAAAATAAAGTAATGAATTAAAACTTCTCACAAATGCTCTTTTTTTTGCACAAAAATTGACACTTTTAAGCATAACAATATCTATGATGTTAACACCTTCAGAAAATTTGACATATGAAGTTTTGAAGCTTGTTGTCAATACAACAAAAGAGCAAACATATCAAATCGTATATATATCAACATATGTGGAACCCTATCTGTTGAAAAAAATCCGCATTATTAACCAGTACACCTAGTATACCAGGCATCTGTTGTTTAAATCTACCCTATTTCCCTCTGGAGAGCCTCTCTCCTCCATTCCTAGTCCTTGTGGTTCAGATGAGGCACCCCACACCCCCTGGCAACAATGGTAGGCATGTGACCTGCCTAGAAAAGCTCAGAGGTAGGCAGGGAACCTGGTCTGGGATCAGCCATGAGACTTCTGATGGCATCTTTTTTTCTCCCAAAGTTGCTAAGCTGGTAGACAAAAATCTTGAGCTTCTAATGCCATCTTTCTTCTTGACTCAGAAGGAAACCAACTGAGAGAAAGGACCTGTGCCTGGCATAAGGTAGGCACTCAATAAATGTTTCTCGAATGACTGAAAAGCAGAGCCAAGAGATAGCGAAGGGCACATTTCTTTGACATCATTTGAGTGCCTGGATATAGCTATTCCTGAACCCAGAGTTTACCTGGCACTTTTACTTGCACAAATAATTATTTTTTATTTAAACTGGTTGGAGATGGATTTTCATCACTTGCCTTAAAGGAGCCCTAAGTGAGATAACTACCATTGCACATGAACAAATGTGTAGACCACATGTGAATCCACTTAAGCCTCCTCTATCTAGATCCAACTGAAGTACAGAGAAAGGCGTTGCTTCCCCAGGCTGTTTCCTCAGAAAGAGACCCAGACAGACCCAGGGACATGGAGTGGAGTCCTCATCGTTTATTTGGGGAAATGGGGAAGGAAGGCAGAGAAGGGGAGGAAGCATTACAGAGCCAGCTCCTCACTCTGCGGCTCTGGAGTGCAGTTCTGTGAGGAACTCGGGGGCCGGAGGTGGGGGGAATGCAGATCATACCTCAGAGGTATCCCAATTGAGGGCAAGGAGGCTTGGTATTTATTCCACCACCACCTGGCTAGTCATTAAGCTTCAGAGAGCATTAACTCCATGGCACCTCTGGCTGAGTGCACCCCCTTGGCTAGAACAAAGCCCCCAGTCGCTCCCATGAGCAGCCTCTGGCAGGTAGAGGTGAATGGTAAGGGGGCCTTGGGGCACTGAAAGCAGCTGTGACAGTCTTCCCTGACTTCCCATCACCCAGATACTGGTCTCCAGCCCTGTCCAGGGGAGCATCTAATGCATCACGTGTGAGGCTTGTTTTCCATTCACCTCGCTCATCTCTCCACAGAGGGTGTGAGCCGGAGGCCATCGGTTGCCGCTCCTTCCTCTGCAGCACCATACACTCCACTTTGCACACAGCAGGCGCCCAGGAGGTACTTTGGGCCATTCACAGCCCTCTCTCATTCTCTCCCTCAAGCTCTCCTTCCTGCCTTTCTCTCTGAGGCGGGGCAGAGGGGCCGTCTCCCCACCAGAGGGATGACACTGTGCAGCCTAGACAATGTCATCAAGATGAATAGACTCCACCACGTGCTCCTTTTGAAAGGAGATAAAACACGATTTATCAAGACCCTGGAGACGGCCGCTGTTTCTTGGGGGAAGATGTCACAGATTTGGTATTCCTGGCCTCTCTGCCTCCTACCCTTTTTTGGTTGCCCGACGCTTTATTGCCTGCTTGTTGCAGGAGCATATGTGTGCAACCATGGCGACAGCATGTAAACATAAATGCATGGCGTGAGGAGTCCTGCTTTCGGGACTGACAGAATGACAAGTAGCCTGGGCCTGGGTTTCTGAGCCCTCATCCTGACACCTGAGCCAGTAATCTGTCAGGAGCTGTGGGTCACCCAGGCACAGGGACACCAGTGGTCAAGAGGTAGCTCACAGGAGCGGAAGGATCATCTAAGAAGCAGAGAAAACCAAAGGAGAGACCACAGGAGGGACCAGGGCCTACAGAGCTGGCATTGCCATGCGCTCCTTTTGAAAGGAGAGAAAACATGGCTTGACCATTCTCCAAAAATTGTACTCCTACCCTTTCTCATCCTGTGGGAGTCTAAAAGGGAAGGAGGGGTTTGGGGTGGGAGACAAACTAAGACCTCCTCCCCGACCCCAACCCAAGGCTGGCCAAACCTCTGGCTAAGTTTGGTATCTTAAGATTACAAATATAGATACAGATAGAATAGATACGTAATCACATAGGACCTGATCCAGGTGCAGACGGAACTAGCCAAAGGCAGTTAAGAACGACTGTGATCGCTGAAGCGCCAGTGACCAAAATGAAGTTCAGTCCCTTTGTGACTTCCGACCGGAGCAAGAACCATGTGAAAGGCATTTTCAATGCACCTTTCACAGACACAAGGAGAGTATGTCTCTTCCTCTTCCCAAGGAGTTCGGTCCATGCCCCTCGGAAAGGAGGATGAAGTTCAGGGTCCCTGAGGACACTACGAAGGGCAGCACATGGGCAACGTGGTCCAGGTCTGCGGGAAGAAAGATGTCACCCACAGCGAACAAGTGCAGTGGGAGCAGGCGCATCGCACGACTCTCAAGCGGGCATTTCCCCCCCCCCGGGCAGGGTGGGTCTCCAGACTGAAGCTGGACAAAGACCGCAGCAGAAAGACCCTGGACCGTAAAGCCAAATCTCGCCATGCGCAAAGGAAAGCAGCAGGTACAGGAAGAAACGATTGGGAAGATGAAGGCATAAAGTGATCTGATATACAACGTTCATTACAACTTAAAGTAAAAACAAAAACCAGCAAAACAAAACGGAAAAGAACAATGGAGGCCTCCAGAAGGTGCAGCCGGTTCTGAAAAGGGAGGTGGGTGAGGTTGGGAGACGGTGGGAGGGCTCCTCACCCACGCTGGCACGGCCCCCCACCTTGCCCCTGGGGTTCCCTCTGCCAGGGAGGCAGCCGTGCCTCTGGGCTGGACCCATCCAGCCCCCGGAGGCCTGCGGGTCTGCGCTCAGGTGCGGAGTCAGAGGACTTCTTTCCCAGCCATTTCCTGGGGCACGTTTTAGAATCCCAACAGGGCTCCTCTCTTCCCCGCTGAAATCCTAACAGGAGCAACGTTTCCTTTACTCGGGGCTTTGGCACGGGCGCAGCGGGGGCAGGAGTGGGAGAGGGAGGGAAGATCTGGAAGGGATCCTAGGGCCTCGACTTCTCTGTGAGGAGTCCAAACCGCACGCTGAAAGCCAAACCGGTGACCGAGGAAGAGAGAGAAAGAGGAGGAGGAAAATCCCCATTAAGGAAGCCGAGACCACAGGGCATTAAAGGCCGCTTGTAAATATAATTCAGCCCGTTTATGGCCAGGCCAGGCTCCCGCCCGAGTCTTCAAAGCCAGGCAGATGCTGCCCCAGAAACATGATAAGCCTCGTAAGGAAGATGA